CATTTGAGCCATTCATCTGGGAGGGTGAGGCTATGGCGTAACGGCCTCGAAGGGCACAATGCACGCAGGTATTGTGGATCGGGAAGGAGTTGGAGCATCGATGGAGGACTGCCGTATGATTATGAGACATCATCGTCTCACACGGTTGCTCCCCAGGCGCACAACAGGATTGCGTCTATCTCGATCATGTAGCTAATAAACACACGGGCCCCAGAGATGGCAGACTGTCGTCACAGAGAATGTCCGCGGAGGCGAGTACAGCGCGACGCAGGCGAGAGACGTACGCGTGTGGCAGAGGTGGAGAGGAAGCTTGTGGAGACTTGCCGCTTTCGGAGGCACTAGACGCCGACAGCCACCGTTACGAGCTGGATGGAGACGCACGTTTCCTTTCGTCATTGCCCGACATACGGAATCCCGTCTGCCAGAACCTGCGTCTATCGCACCGCCTCTATCGTCTACAGCCCTCCGGAAATCGGTCTTCCAAGAGGGTCTGGCGTGCGTCCTATTTGCCGCTGGAGTCTCATATCCGCCAGTGCCACCACTTGGCAATGTTCCGGTGCGCTTCAGAGCGTATCGAGGGCGGATAAGGGGCAAGATGAATCCTGGCGAACGGTAGCGACGGTGGTTCGTGCGATCGCACGATGCCGGGTCGAACAAACGATATGAGCGGAAGGAGCCCCAAAGATAAACCAACGGACTAACAATAGCTGGCATTAAAACATTGGCGAGTGACGACGCCATTCCCTTTTTCGACTCAACGCCCGCATCGATCCTGCGATATCCTGCACCCACGTCCCGAAAAGGAAGGTCCTGTGTACTGGGGCCTGACTTACGTGGCCGCCCCGCCTGCCGCCCTCTATCAGCCGTCCGCCTCTGCGCCCCATTTCCGGAGCGCCCCCCCAATGCCACTGCCCGCTCCACCAGCCTCCGCGAATGGAAATGGCGCAAATTTCACCTCCCCCTGCCTCCGCGATAGCCTCTGCCCGCATCCGCCTTTCTCACGGCGCCTCCATCCAGTCCGTATATATACCCCCCCTGTCCTCCCAGTCAGCCTCAGTTCGACATCCCAGTCAAACACCCAACATACCCCTTTAAAACAAACAGCCTCTCCCCTCAGGGATCCTGCACTTCTCCTTCTCGCCCTTGACCATATCCCATTGTTTCATCATGTCCCCCAGCCAAACTTCGTTCTACGCCGATGCCGTCCTATTTGACATGGTACGTCCCAATCATCTCCTTCCTGCTTTCCTGCCGCAGCTGACCCCTTACGCTTACAGGACGGTACGCTCACCGACTCCATCGCAGCAGTCGAGGCCGCCTGGGGCAAGGTCGCCAAGGATATCGGGCAGGACCCAGCCTACGTGATCGCTGCCACTCACGGAAAGCGCGCCGTCGACAACCTCGCTCAGTTCAAGCCCCACATCAAGGCGCACGAAATGGATGACGAGGTCCAGGCCTTTGAAGAGTCTATCCTCTACTTCGCCGATGCGTTCCACAAACACGGCCCTGGCTCCCGCCAGAATTCGCCTCTCGACTCGCCCTCGACGTCCGACGCACCCACTCCCGCCCTCACCCCGTCCGGATCCGTGCCATCCTCGCGCACCTCATCCCGAGCGTCGTCGTTCGCCGGTGGCCTCGGCAATCTCACCTCATTCCGCAGACGCCCTTCTTTCCTGAGCCGTGTCAGCAGTATGCTCATGATGTCCGGCGTAGACCGCGCACGCATCGTAGACTCGACCGTCGAGGAAGACGAGGAGAGCGCCGTCGACGTGAGCAAGGAGGACAAGCTGCACGTCCTTGAGGCCTGGCAACGGGAGGCGATCGCCGTCGACCGCTCCGTCCGCATCCTCCCCGGCGTGAAAAAGATGATTTCGTCCATCCCTGAGGGACACTACGCCGTTGCGACGTCTGGCGCAAAAACATACGGTACGTTTCCTTCAGCTGCTACCTCTGGTCCCTAGCTGACCACGCTCATATCATCCAGCATACGGCTGCATGACCCGTGTCGGCATCACCCCGCCGCCCGTTACGATCACCGCGGACGACAAGCGCCTCAAGGCCGGCAAGCCCGCACCCGACCCGTTCCTGCTCGCAGCCAAGTGCCTCGGGTTCGACGCGACGAAGTGCGTCGTCTTTGAGGACTCGCCGTCCGGCATCCGCGCAGGTGTCGCGTCGGGCGCAACGGTCATCGCGGTGTGCACGTCGCACGAGCGCGAAAAGATCGCGGACTGCGGCGCGCACTTTATCGTGGAGAACATGGAGAAGGTGCGCTGCGAGCCCGTTCAGATCGCTGGCGAGACGAAGCTCCGGTTCTCAATCCTCGCGTGAGGCGCGCTGGTCGCAGCCCATGCGCTCTATATGTTGTAGCCCTAGTACCTCGCTATGATCTTTCCCCTCTACGTTCCTGTTTTCGCTCCTCGTTATCGTCGTTTCACTGCCAGACAGTTGTAGTTTAGTTTATTTAGACCTGTTCTTACGATGCATGCAATTTTTACGATACCTCAATCAATTTTCTTAGTCAATCCTTTTGGAGTGCGTAGAAATTTTTGTCACTGGGTCATGTGGAATGTGACATACGCGACCGAGTCAACGGCAAAATGCGACCGAGTCGATTGCGCATGATCGGGGTCGCATTTTGCCATACAACTTGAGAACGTCCAGTGGCCTAGTATTTTTCGCTCTCTTGCGACAGGGCGATTCGTCTATCAGCGTATATTTTGCACTGCGATGCTACGCGGGCCCGTAATCTGCAGCGTGTCCAACGCTGGCAAAACACGGCAAGTAGTATGAATTGGGGCAGTCTGTGAGTAGCACTACAGGAGCATCTCGTCGTAGCCTAAGCATGATATTTGTATTCTTCCTCGACGAGATCATGGTTCTCAAGACTCGTTCTTTGGCCGCGCTTTGTCTGCGAACTTGATGTCGTCAGAGAGCACGACGTTCGCCAATATCACCTTTGGCTCGTTCGCGGCAAAGAATCGACAAGGGCTGTTCGACATGCGGAGAATAAGAAGGGATCCATGCTGGTGCTGATATAAGAACGCCGCCCGATGCTCACCAGGCGTGTTTTCCATGGCTAAGATTCGGACACTCCGCTGAAGGAGTAACAAGATGATGCCTGTTCTTCTCGCTCTCCTCTGCCCGCTCGTCCGAGAAGCGGAAATGTTCAAAAGCTTCGGGCCTGTCATAGAACTCGCCGTGCAGATGCGTAGCCGTCGCCGCGGCAGTGAAAAGGTTGCCCATGGGGGTCAATGTGTCGTTGGACAACGTGAGATCCGTCAACGCCTTGCGCGGAGGAGAAACTAGTCACAAGCCTATCAGTATTTCGCTGATCGAAAGGAACGGAGGATAACAACCACGCACACATGCCGAGGCCATCCACTCTCGCTGACTCTTTCAAGAAGCTATCGGCTGTCCTCATCTCGCACATCGCTGCCTTCGTCCAACCTTCCTGCTCGATAGCTGTCTCGAATTCCTCATGCAGAGGCTAGGTGCACTCGGGTGGGCAGCCGACTCGTACAGAGCGTGGGCCATTGACTAGACCAAGTTGCAAAAACAGACCAAAGTATGAAGCGCTACGGCATCCGACGCCAATGTGCATTGCACTAAGAAGTCAATCGGGTCTCGGTGGTTGAGGTTCTTCATCTCATCGAGCATCTACATGAGCAGGTCATTCTGACAATGTATTGAGACCGGGCACGATACCGAAGCGTGTAGCACGAACCAGTGGGTTATCAAGTATGGCCAGCTTCTTCAACGCTAAAAAGAACTTACGGTTTCAGGAATCCAGGGAAAATGAAAGGTATCCAACAGCCCTTATGACGCCGTCTATATGCGTGTCCAATATCTCAAGGCATTCGGGATCCCGACCTGACAGTACACAACTTCATATGATTGAGTCAGTCGCGCAAAGCACTACCACCCTGCTGAACCCTGCCGGGAGCCGCCGCGCGCGACCGCTCCACCAAAAGGCAGTTCTCACCGAACGTCTACGCTCTCTGTCAGCGGCGACCCATCCTATCGGTGATTAAGTAGACATCCTCGAAAGTCGTTCGAAGGAGGCCTACCATCGCTTTTCGTCGGCACAAACTCCTCAAGCGTGGTCGTGACCTCTTCGATCACAGAAGGCATGAGAGATAGGATATTCCTCGTGAGTTGGTTTTAGACTCGCTATGATGTGGGTGTGATACACGTGCGCTTCGGGAACAGTGGTATACTGCATTTGGACCAACTTCGGGCATCCGACACAATACGGCTCCTCATACGCACATATGTGGTGTCTCACTATCTTGGGAGCGTTCAAGAACGACGCCATCTCGTCGGGCATACTCATACCTTGCTATATCCCTCCTGGAGGATATCCTTTGCATGGAGGGGGAACTTAACGGCACTCCAATAGGAGAGATGAGGTGCCGACAACTCACCTACGGTCGGGATACGATAGATCTACGTCGTGCGCTCATAGTTAGGAATCCCTAGCGCCTAATGAACTTGGAAGATAACGCACTGGAACCGTCTTCCTCTGCACGAACGCGACGAGAACAGGGTCCAGAAGATCACCACGGCGCTGGTCGTATGTTCTCATGTCTTGCAGAATATTTGCGGAAACGAACAACGAAGGGTCAAGGTTATGAATTTACATAGCAGGTGTATCTGAAAGAGTATACAAAGGCGAATCTGAAACAAAGACGGAAGATTAGACTCGTCTTCGGCACCTCAACCATCCCGAGCACGGATCATGGGGCTTGAAAGGCTTGACTCTGACACCTCCAGGATGAATTCCTCACCCAGAGGCGTAAGCCAGCGACACGTCTGAGGTATCGGTGCGCGCGTACGGTCGATTTTTATTCAAAAGGGTATGCTCAATTAATCAGCGTGCGTCACTACATACCGTGGCGATCAGCCGTAGTCACTTTGCGTTCGATTTGCAGATGATGAGATACATACAAGACTATCGGAGGCCTGTCCTGGACTCCCGCTGCTGGTTCAGGGCGACTTTGAATTACCGCAAACAATGGACTTTGCGCATTGCGCAAGGCGATAAGCAGGCACGAGACTGAATCGGACACCCCTATGTTGAATACACCACGGCCGGCTACACCTTCGAATGACACCATGCATCCGGTTTTCAAGCAGGGCAGAGCCTCTCCAACCTGAGAGCAAAGTTAGCAAACAGCGGATTCTTTCGACCACGTTGCTATATATAAACGCTGATTTCATCATATCCTTAGCCGCATATCACGTGAATATTAGCAAAATTGTAGCGGGCCGGAGATATGCCGTCCGGCGGCCCGGACTCTGGAGATTGTCACTTTGTCACGTGAAACGTGACGTGCGCGACTCATCTGCCGTAATTGGTAACGCGCTCCAAACGGGTTTGGTCTCGGATCCGGAGATCGTTTTGACTCCCACAGTGTGCGTTGAGTGTGCGCAACCGACTTGGGGAGTACGTCTCGCCTTTCCCCCGAGTCGACCATTGAACGCGTGGACTGTGTCGAGCTGCATCGCTTGGTTAGAGCAAGTCTTTGAATACTGCCAGCTACCTACTTTGTCAGCCACTGTCAGCAACTCCCAACTCTACTAGCACAGCAATAGAACATAATCATTCGTATCTGTCGGATAATCAGGCATGCTGACAAGTACAGAGAACAACTCCGTCGTTGACGACGACAGCGAGGATGATTTCGACTGGGAGGAGGTTGCGGTCCCACAATACGAGCAGCAACCCAAGGCGGTAGAGGCTGAACCTGCGAATGAGGACGTGCAGGAGGGCCCTTCGGAGAAGCCGCACATAGAGATCACCATCCAGACGCAGCGGAAGGGGAAGAAGAGCAGCCAGGCAAAGTGAGTCATCGCCTGTCCCGCTCTATGTCCAGTCCTGATGAGCCCGCATAGGCCAAACCCCCGCGCGGAGCAGTTGTACGCCGAACGCCTGGCGCGACTGACATGCCACCAGGTGCATACCGTCTGCCTCCTCGCGAATGCCCGCATCCGGAACAAATGGCTCAACGACGCGCTGCTCCACGTCCGTCGCGCGTTCTCTGCTCTCCGTGCCACGCATGCTCACGCGCTCGTCTAGGCCCGTCTCATGTCGCTCACCCCGATCCACCTGCAGAACGCGCTGGCCACCATCACCAAGGCGCGCGTACCCGAGGCAGCGCAACGCGGCCGCATGTTCGAGGCGGCGG